ACTACACTGCACACCCTGTACCTTTCAGTATGAACTGTTTTCCAAGAATTCATTTCATAATTCCTTCATCGGGACTTGATAGAAATAGACCCCTGGATCTCCAATAACAATTCCCACTGCCTCAGCCACCACACATGGTGAAGAAAGGCCTCCAACATAGAGGACAAAGCCTGTGAAAACACAAAAGCTCTTGTATGCCCGCTCATCGCAAATTCTACCTGTAACCCAGGACTGAGGCTGGGGGACAACAGGCCACTTACCACGGAGGAAACAAAATGAAGGGAAAACTCTTCACACCAAACATGTCTTCTTGGGGCTCCCAGTACAAAGCAAACTCCTGAGAGCTCTTCTAGCTCTGTCCTACGGCCTCTCCTCCCTTTCTTTCTTCATTTTACTCTGATCAGGCTCTTGGCTACACTAAATTTGCTCCTCTCAAGGTCACCAAAAAACTAACACTCTGCTAAACCCAGGAAGCTCATCTGACTCCATCTCTCAGGAGGTCGCCACTGCTGATACTCAGTTTCCTTCAACGGCTCCCCTCTCTTGGCTTCTAGGCCACCATATTCGTGGTTCCTGGCTATCCTTTCTGGGGTTCCTATGAGTCGTTACTCCCTGCATTCCTGACCTCCTCACACTGGTGCGCCTCGAGGCTCATGCCTTGGTTCTCTTTTCTCCTCCATGGCATGCTCACCCAGTATTTGTGGTTTAAAATACCATTTCTTACCCCAGTGACTCTCAAATATAGGTCTCCAGCCTGGACCTAAATCCTGAACCGATTCATACATCCAATTGCCTACCCAGCAACTCCACTGGGATGTCTAATAGGATCCTAAACTTAGCTTGTCCAAAACCAAACTCCTGACCTTCCTGCCAAATGTCCTCCTCTTCTGTCTTCCCCATCTTGGTAAATGACACTCCCCACTTTCCCCTCCTCCTCTCACCTTCCTTCATGCCTTACCAGTCAGCAAATCCTATCGACTCTACCTTTAAGAAACATCCAGAATCTTACCACACCTCATCACCTCCAAACTGCCCTCTGGTCCCCGCCACTACCTTCTCTCCTGAGTGCTGAAATGCCCTTGTAAGCAAGTCTCTCATTTTTACCCTTGCTCTACTATAGTATTTTCTCAAAACAGCAGCCAGAGAGATGCCATTGAAACAAAAGTCAAATCACGTCACTCTCTTATTCAAACCTTAAATGACTTCTCATCTCACTTGGAAAAAACAAAGTCCTCATGATAACTGCACAGCCCTGCATACTCTGAGTCACCCCATCCTGCTCCCTCAGCTCTGACCTCATTGCCTCAAACTCTCCCCTTGCTCACTCTCCTCCAACCACATTGGCCTCCTTCTGTTCAGGGTGCCTGTGCTTGCTGTATCTCCTGTCTAGAACACCCTTCCTCAGCACTCACAAGCTTCATGCCCTTAGCACCTTCACATCCATACTCCTACATGAAGTCATCTCCTACATGAAGGTGTCCCTCACAATCCTTTTTAAAATCGCAACCTGTATCGCTTAGCACTCTTTATCTCCCTTCTCTGCTTTCTTTTTTCCAATAAGAGTCTACCTCTTATTTTATAAATTTTATAATAAAACTTATTATAAAATTATTTTGTTTATCTCCCATCGAAATACTCATTTTGTCTTCCCCTACTAGAGTACAAGCTCCAGGGAAGTGGGGATTTATGTCTGTTCGTGTTCCTGCTGCACTCCTACTACCTAGGAAGTGCCTTGTATACAGTAGGTACTCAGGAAATATTTGCTGCATGAATGGGAATAATGGCTCGCTTGGTTCCTCTTACCTAAGACAGTCATCACCGTCTTCATTAGCTTCATGGGTGTCCTCCGGCGGCTGATGGACCCACTCGTGTGTGGGGACAAGACGTTGGTTTTCCTCTTGACATACATGTAGATTCGTAGGTACACCACAACCATGATGAAGAAGGCCACAAGGTTGGACACGGTCCAGAAAATGAGGTAACTCCTACTGTAAATGGGGGCCAGGGAAGAACAGGTAGAGATGTCACAGAGGCAATTCCAGCCCAGTGTGGGGACTGCCCCCATAAAGATGGCGATGGCCCAGATGAACAAAATGAGCAGCGTCACCCTCTTTTTGGTCAGGTTGCTGTGGACCCGCATCCTCATGATTGACATGTGCCTCTCCACGGCAATAACCAGCAAATTAGTCAGGGAGGCGGTCAAGCTCGTGTCCAGAAGCCCCTGACGGAGAAACCAGCGGTGGACAGTCAAGGTTTTTGAAACAGGGCCCGTGTTAAACATCAGGAATACATAGGCAATTCCAGCAAAGAAATCTGCAGCAGCTAGGTTAGCCAACAGGTAGTAGAAGGGGAAATGAAATTTTCTGTTTTTGATCACTGCTGCGATGACCAGAGAATTCGAAAAAAAAATAAACAGGCAGAAAAATGTTCCAACACATAAAACGATCACAAGCTTCGTTCCTGTCCAGTCATCAGCAGTGTCAGTGTTGCTCCTATTATAAAAAAAGTCCATGTGCTTATCATAGTGACACTCATTCATTGTGGAGAAGAAATGAACATCCTAGGAAGAAATTTAAAGAAACAAATATCACTCTTTGCAAAATCAATCACTAAACCAATTGCCACTGCTAAGCTTCTTGTCTGGACAGCTCCTGTCCATCTTTCAGATCTCAGTAAATGTCCCTTATTTTAAAGGACCCTAGCCCCTGACCTCCCATCACAGCATTTATCTCACATCAGTAATTGCCTGGCTGTATCCCAGACAAGGCGTAAGCTCAGCAAGTGAGAGTATGGGTCTATGTCGTTCACCATTACAACCCCAGGGCCCATTTGCCTTGGCTGTCTCATGACAGGTATTTGCTGAATGCTGGCTGAATGAATGAATGAATGATCATGGAGGAAGCAATAGGTCCAATGTTCTGAGCCCTGCAATATCCACTCTGCATGAATGCTTTCTCCTGGTGGCTTCCAGCTTATTTCTTATTTATGGGTTCTGCTCATTAATCAAAGGTTGATTGGTAACACCAGGCACGTTCTTGCCAAGATAACGGGTATTGAGTTTCTTTTCACATGACCAAATGGATTCCTCAAGAGATCAATTTTCCACCACTCTGATTGCGTTCTTGATCCTCCCTTTGCCATTTTTTGGCTTCAAGCTACAATGATGACACTCACTGTTAAGCATGTGGTGTAGGGCTGGAGACTGGCCTCAATATTCCTTCCTTACCTGTGCGTTCTCTTCCATACTCTCCTAATCCAAATTGTACCAGTGTGAATTTGTTTACTAGATTCCCCAACTCAATTACTTCAGGTCAGTTTCTTTCCCTGGGCTCTCTTCAACACAGCAGGTGCACAAAGGGTAGGCCTCCACGGCCAAAACAGATCTGGAGTTTGGGCAGATGTCCAAGGATATGAGAACATACCTGCCAAGTGAAGGCAAGTCCTCAGGACACATGTCTGAAAATAGGCCCCAAATAAGGGTATCGAGCAGATAGGGAAGACACTAATCTCGGGATAAGATCTCTTGGACCCCAAAAGTGAGGGATTGTGGCCAAGAGGGGCTGGGCAGGGGCTCTGTGCTTGGTGGGAAGATCAGGTGTTCTGCCTCACAGGGTTTTGGCCACAACCATGAAAGGTCCAATCAAAAGAGACTGGGATTGAAGCCAAGAAATCTAGCTTCTGAGGAGAATAATCAGGGGCTCCCTCACAAGGCTACAATTATCTGCTGGAGAACCAGAGACCCAGTAGGCCCAGGAACTGAGCAGTCCTCTGGTGGAAATGAAGTGGCTCTAACAGTTAACACTTAAAAGGATCTCCTCCCCCGATCCCCCCAAAACGGATCTCCCCCTTTTAAGGTTCTTACAATTCGGCAATTCAATACCACATCCAGAATCAGGATAAGCAGATCAGATATCAATTTGAAGTAGTATGAAATAGAAATATATCTTAGACAGTCTTTTTAATTTATATTTTAACGGTATAATGGTATTTTTAAATGAATTAGAAACATGCCTCATTCACACAACAGATGGAAGGTAAGAATATCACTTTATACGCTTAAAATAAACAAACTAGGAGTGGTCTCAAAAGACAAATGGTTCTAGTGCCTTTCAATTACAAGAAAGGGGACTCGATTTTAATAATGACAAAATAAAAATTACTCTCTTTCATAGACATTCACCAATATTTGATTGCCAATATCAGATAACATCATAAAACAGGCCAATATATCTACACTATATTATGATAATTTTACCAAATTAAAAATATATATATATATAATCATTTTAATAGTGTTATAATATTCCAGTATATGAATATACCACTTTACTAACTAATCCCTAAATACTGGACATTTAGGTTGCTTCCAATATTTTGCTTCTTTAAACATGGCTACATTCTTTTGCATTAATTTTTACATACTTGGCCAATTATTTCCTTAAGATTAATCCAAAGATTTCAAGTTGATGAAGTAAAAGATGTAAATTTATTTAAAAGTTTCTGATACGTAGTGCCAAACCTGTCCTTGAGACAGATTGTATTTCTAATCCTACTAGCAATATATGAGAGTTGAATAGAAAATATGAATCTAGTGAAATTCGATTTAAATATCTAAGAAGAAAATTCAGCTTTCAATAGTGTTGAAAGTATATAGAAATTCAAGACTAACAATTCAAAAATCACATGAGAAATTTTAATGATGCAATTGTGTCTTCGCTAATGAAAAATAGTGTATTTTATTTTGCTATATGCTCTAGATAGCTAAGAAAAACACATTTCCAATTTAAAATTATATTATCCTTGATTAACTCATCAGCATCATCAACATTAATATGTCAGAAAGATGTTGGAATTATAATACTACCGAAAAAACTTTAAATTTTCCTGATTTCTTTTTGAAGGGTTCTTAACATTTTAGTTTTGGTTCATAAATTTGGTTGAATTTGTAATTATATCACACCCTAAAACCTCAATGATTTTTACTTCAAAATCTTCAATTTCAAATCCCCCACCCCCCATCAAAACCAAATGGCACATTTTTAGACATGTTTTAAAAAAATTGTCCTAAGGCTGAGAAGTAGTTTTGTCTTACAAAGTTGAGGAACCATAGAAAAACCATAATTAACCAGAACATCCATCGAGCACTTCCACCTACCTCTATCACAAATTCTACTGAAATAGACAATAAGAGCAAAAAAAAAAAAAAAGTTTATGTAAGGCATTGGTGAAAAAGCATCCACAGAATAAAATATTATGCAGCCATTGAAAATCACGTTTTCCATGAAGTTGTAGTAATATGAGAAAAAGCTCATGCCATTATTTTAATTACAAATTATATATATGCATACATTTACATATTATACATACATGCAAACATAAATAAGCATGTGTATATTATGTCTATTTTTAAAAGATACAGAAAAAAGATTAAAAAATCTTTTTAAATTAGGAATGGTGGAATTGTGGATCATTTTTTTAAATTCCAGTTTTTTTCTATGTTCCACATTTTCTGTAATAAACAAATAGACTTTTAAATGCTAGTTTAAAAAATGTCTTAGCACACATTCTACTAATGTATTCTACTTGTCTTTGACAACTACAGTCTGAAAAATCAAAATTAATGTTCAAAGGAAAAGCCTCAAGGATTTGCTAATCTTCATTATTACTATTCTTACCAGCAAAGTGCACTTCAGAGTTTTCCAGTGATAATGAAAATAAAATGGTTTTCTACTTAAGACTCCATGTAACCATAAAACCTTATATGCTGACAACTAACCAAATCAGGACATCGTTTTCCCCAGTTCTCCTGTAGAACATTTCCCAGCGCAATCTCCCCAGAGCTCCAGAAATGAATAACTGGAAGTTTTGTGAATTAGTATTTTTGTTTTTTTTTCCTTTGCCGTATACTGCCAAACTTGTTGACAATCCCCAATACATATTAACTACAGATCACCGTATTTTCTTAGCTGGAAATTATCAAAAACTTTGGCAAGCTTATAACAAACGATCAATTAATCATCTCCTGACCTCTCTCAAACCTTAAAATAGATTCTGTGATCCTAGCCTTAAACATCCCCTTCACAGAGATACCGTCTGTGACTAATTCAAAGTAACCCCACACACTCGAAACTATAAAACTCCTAGAAGAAAACATAGACAGCAAATTCTTTAACATTGCTCTTAGCAATATCTTTTTGGCTATGTCTCCTAGGGTGAGAGCAACAACAAAAAAAAATAAACAAATGCAATGACATCAAACTAAAAAGTTTTTGTACAGTGAAGCAAGCCATCAATAAAATAAAAACGAGAGGAGATATTTGCATATGATATATCCAATAAGGGGCTAATATCCAAAATATATAAAGAACTCATACAACTTAACACCATAAACAAACAAACAATCCTATTTAAAAATGGGCAGAGGATCTGAATAAACATTTCTCCAAAGAGGATATATAGATGCCAACGGACACATGAAAAGATGCTCAACATCACTAATCATCAGGGAAATGCAAATTAAAACCATAATGAGATATCCCCTCACACCTGTCAGAATGGCTGCTATCAATAAATCAAAAATAAAAAGTGCTGGTGAGGAGGTAGGGAAAAGGGAACCCTCGTACACTCTTGGTAGGATTATAAATTTGTGCATCCACTATGGAAAACACTATGGAGATCTCTCAAAATTAAAAACTGAGCTGTCATACAATCTAGCAACTCCACTTCTGGGTGTTTATCCAAAGGAGACAAAAACACTAATTCGAAATGACAAATGCATCCCTATTTTCATTGCAACATAGCTAGCAATAGCCAAGATACAGAAGCAACCTAGATGTCCCACAATAGATGAATGAATAAGGAAGCTGTGTTATATATACAATGAAATACTATTCGGCAATGAAAAAAACTTACCATTTGTGACGATATAGATGGATACAGTACTAAGTGGAATAAGACAGAAATGACAAATACCATATGATTTCACTTATATGTGGAATCTAAAACAAACAAAACAAATGAATAAACAAAACAAAATAGAAACAGACCCATAGGGAATAGAGAACAAGCTCATGGTGGCCAAAGGGAAGCGGGGTGAGGATGGGAAGAAAAAAAGAAAAAGAAAGTAACCTCATAGCTCTCACTATCGGAGAGCCCTGTTTATCTTCACCAGAGCACATATCATCTGTTACATATTTTCTTTTGTGTTTATGTATTTACAGCCCATCCCCTACCACTAGACTCATCTGCTCCAGCAGAGAAGGCACTCTGCCTTTTATGCTCTCTACAGCATCAGCATTTGTGGAACAAATGAATGAATTTTCATCCTATACTATTTCTTCGCCCACTAAAATGAAAAGGTTCAGTTAAATGTCTTGCCTAACTAACAGGTCATCCACACAATATGCCAATTAGAGAACTCCCTCACTTAACTATGTGTTCTTGGGTTACTTACAATCTCCAATTCATTATTACTACTGTATTTTTAATTGCTAATTTTGAGTGATTACTTTGTGTCTACTGCTTGACTAAGCATTTTACAAGGGTCGTCTGATTTAATCG